ATGTAGCTTATGCAAAATCATGGCACATACACACAAGGATCCACAGTCAGTTATAAAAGCCAAAAGAGGACATGTTTCTACACGGTTATCCAACTCCAATCAGCTGCTGTATTACCCCCACTGAGTTTAGTTAACATGACATCTTTTCAGGTCGCTTTATGACTTGATCAGTGTCTGAGCCACAACTTCAGCAAATAATTGTGTGGAACAGCGTGGTACCTCATGTTTAATTGGCTTTTGGACAAACCAAACCAAAGAATCAAGGCATGATCGAGATGAGTTGTCCCAGATGTCTCTCTCTGATGGTTTTTGACTCATTATCAGCAGCTATCAGACTTTGTCTTAACCTTGACCCTGTTATTACAATTTTCCCTTGAACCGCTAGCTTGAAAGTTAAGGGCTTTGAACTGTGACTCTTATAATGAGGCACATGGCTTCATAGAGTGAAGGTGGTGTGAATTGGTTTTTCACATTACTGGGGCTGTTTATTGTGTCTGACAGATGATGTGAGCAGGATGTGAGCATGATGAAATGAAAAGCAAATATCTGACAGATCAAATAACATCAAATATATTCAGAAAAACCCTTTAAGAGATGACTGTGCTGGTGCAATATTAAAATAGTTTATATGTATGGTTTAGTTTGTTGTCTCTGTTTGCCTCTGTTTTATTGAGCTGCACATTCTTTTGACTGAATGTGTGCTTATCTTACCTGCTTTGTTGGTTCTATAGATACAAAACCACCAGTCATCTCTCACTGAAAACACAGTAAAGTTGTGAAATGTAGTTACCAAATCTTAAATCAGTTGGACATATGGATCCACTTAGTTTGGGTAGGAGACAGATTATAAACTTTTTTTCTGGGAAAGTCAGTGTGCATCAGCGACATCGAGACCATCATATTTGAGTGTATCAAATGACATGTTAGCAAAAGGAGCTATCCATTAGGTCCATGATTAAATGAGGAAAACAAATTATAGTGCCATTATGTGAGGAGGGTTTACACACAGATAGATTGTCCACACGACATTAATTTAGATTTGTTTAGATTCAAAGCTGTGGTGGGGGACTCGGGTAAAGACTATGGAGCTGATTGTGGATCTAAGGAGAGCAAAGGCACCAGTGACCCCTGTTTCCATCCAGGGGGTCAGTGTGGACATTGTGGAGGATTCTAAATACCTGAGAGTGCACATTGACAATAAACTGGACTGGGCCAAGAACACTCAAGCCCTCTACAGGAAGGGCCAAAGCCGTCTCTATTTTCTGAGGAGGCTGAGGTCCTTCAACATCTGCAGGACGATGCTGAGGATGTTTTATGAGTCTGTGGTGGTCAGTGCTATCTTGTTTGCTATTGCATGCTGGGGCAGCAGGCTGAGGGCAGCAGACGCTAACAGACTCGACAAACTGATCTGCAAGGCCAGTGACGTTGTGGGGGTGGAGCTGGACTCTCTGTCGGTTGTGTCAGAGAGGAGGATGTCTCCCACCCACTCCACGACGTGTTGCTCAAACACAGGAGCACTTTCAGTGCAAGACTCATTCCCCCAAAATGCACCACAGAGCGCCACAGGAAGTCCTCCCTCTAAGTGTCTGACACATGGACACTTAATTAGTTTTTAAAGTGGACCGTATTATGTATTTTTGTGCAATATTATCTGTTTAATAATTAATGTGCAATATTCTCTGCTGCTATTTATTCACTAGTTCTTTTTGGTTCACCATAATAACTGATATTAATGTAAATATTGTACATACCCACAATCCTTTATTTTTGTCTTTATATTTTATATTTATACTCTTATGTTTATATACGCTTTATCTATCTATCTTTGACAAGTGTGCAATTGTGACAAAAGATTTCCCCTCGGGGATCAATAAAGTATTTCTGATTCTGATTCTGAAAGGGCTAGAAGGCAAATGTGCTTTTATGATTAACATTGGAGTGACCTCAGCAAATGACCAAGGACATACCTCGGTCAAGAATAATCTTTCACACTTGACCAAGCACAAGTTTATACAAAGATGTCAAAAACTGAAATAATCAGCATTTTGTACTATCTGTATAAAAAAGATTGTTATTTTTTATAGACCAATGTAAATAATTTAATGAAGGATAAATAGTTTAAGAGTTATGGCTAGATATTTAAACATTTGTAGTATTGAGCTGCCAACTAAGCTGACCAACTAATGGCTTGTGTGATTACTAATACAAACCAAGTGAATAGTCGTCTTGCTGACACATTTTTCACATCTAAAGATGGTTGTCAAGTAATCACTTTACAATCACCCAGGCTACTGTAGGTGTTACTGGCTACATTTGGTGGCATTTGTTGCCATTATTGGCATGAGGATGTGACAACTGTTGCAAATGTTCCTTTAGAAACTCAGCCAGCTCTGAAGACCTTATTGCTGACAAATGGTACAAAACTTGTGAAGGCTGATTCATCATTTTCACCTAATGGGTAACTGATGCTTTTCCTTGCTTTGTAATTCAAAGTAGCAGCCTCCACAGACACACCACACTACTCTCTGACTAACTCTGAGCTGGCACGCAATCTGATTTGTTAAAAAAGACGTAAGAAAGTGGAGAGTGGGCCGATCGCAGAGGACTGATAACAGCGTCACCGGGTGAGAAATAGTAGTCAGGAAGCTATTTCTGGGCACAAGCCCAACTGGGCCAGTTTCTGACCTCTTTTCCAGTCCAAATCAGCATCTTACTGCCAGCAGGAGAGTAGGCAGTTTATTGTTAAATCCTGCATTCGTTTTCAAATAGACACTTATCCTAGTGTTGTAAACCTGCATTAAAATGATCATGGATGTGTCGTTAACCTTTATGTTTCACCATTCCTCTCCTCCCACTGTATTATCTCTCCTCTGAATGTACTGCCGCCCAGTTAGCAGTACAGCTAATGGGGTTGTAAGCAGTTAACAGTCCTGTGAAGCTCTTGTCAGGGACACTAACATAGCAACACCACAACAATGGAGGTGTTATTGGGCCTTGCCTTGGAAACATACAGACAACTTATAATGAGTAGGTCTGAGTGGGGAGGCTGTTGTTGTGTTAGTGGAATGTTTAGAAGAATATTAATTAGCAGAATGAAAGGCAATATAAAACAGTCCTGTTGCTATATGGCAAGCGCGCTGGTTGGGTGGCTTCCCCTTTGTCAGAGCCTATTCACAAAATGCAAAGCACAGCCTTAATCATTGCAATTAAATATAAATGGTCAAGCTGTGGCCAGAATATATTATTGTAATAAATAAATGTTATAAATGTTTATTTGAAATGTCATATTTACAGTCAAGTGGGAAACATCTGTCTGTTTTTTTGTATAAACATTTAAACTAGCTTATGTTTAGAGAAGCAGTACAAGAAACATCTCAGCGTGTGCTGTCAGTGTGATAGTGAAATTGCTTAGCATGTTAGTATTATATATATATATATATATATATATATATATATATACAGACAACAGAACAAGCGATGGACTACACACACACACACACACACACACATTGTGAAGTAAACCCAGCATTGGGAAAAACTTTTAAAATCCCAGTGCTGTTCTGTGCTGTTTGTATTACCACAGTTAAACCTAGTGTCAGGGAAGAGGAAGCCAGGCTTGTGGCTTGGTAATTTACAGGTCTGCCAGCAGGAGCTCAACCAGCAAGAGTTGTAAAACTACTTAGAGCTGTGAAATGAACTCCAAATCAGGAGAATGCACCGCTGGTGGCTGTATGATGTCTTCCTGTTGACTTAACTGCAGGGTTTTTATCTATGGGGATCTGAATATGTTTGCTTTTCTATGTAAGACTTAAGGCTTGGCAGAGAACCATGAGCCTGAGGTTTTGTGTGGCAGCTGATAAGTGCATTTGTAGCGGTATGTTGGAGAAATTCTGTTTTTTATGCCTCGGAAAATATAATGTCTGGATTTCTACTTTGCTCTGAGGTAATGTTACGCTGAATGCATGCTGCTTCATGGCTTTGTGTAATGTGTATCAAATTAAACTTTGGTCAAGGCTTGTATTTATCAGACTTCTGAGAATTACACTGCACAATGCAGTAGAGGGCAATTTAGTATAAAAAATGTCCTTGAGTGTAAGGAATAACACGTTTATCAAAAACATGTTATTACTTAGTTACTTCTTCTTACAGTGAAGTGTAAGAGTAAATTTAAAGAGCAGCTGTCAAGTAATCGTACAATCAATCACATGTATGATCAGAGACAATGATATACCCTACAAGTGCAGACAATGAAGATGAATGGAAAGTGATCCCAAATAAAATCAATGCCAACTTTATTAATGTTGTATCATGCTGATTAATGTAGAAAAAACAACTTATGAAATTGCTGGAGCTTTCTTGAATTTAAGAGCATTTCTTAGTTGTGAGAAATTTGATAAACTGCTTAAGCTTATGAATAGAAGTTTAAGTTCAGGATTTTTACTTTAACTTACAGTGAGTGTTCTGAACATTTTGTAAGACTCAGTTTGAAAGATTTCAGTGTCTGTTCGCTTGGCTTTGTCTCTGTGCATGTGTGGGACAGCATTTTAAGTCAGAGCAGCTGCAACCTTTTTAGCAGAGACCATAGGTCGCTGAGACAGGAAGTGCCAAGAGGCTAGGCTGTTGAACGACTAAGCAGAAGAAGAACAACAAACAACTGCATGAACAGGAATATTTCCTAAATGACAGTGTTGTAAAAGTCAATACAGAGTCTGAACTGAATGCAGGGTCACAGTGACCTCTCCTCTTGTCTCTCCTGTGACAGAACGCAGAATTTAAATGAGGGTGGAGATCACAAAGCACTCATGTCAATAAGGTACAGAGATTTTGTCCTAAAAGGAAGCCAAAGAACTGACACCCTTAAAATGTAATTCTGGCTTTGACCTTGGACTTTCCTGTAACCCATCCAAATCATTGCACATCTCTTTGTACCACAAGAATAACAATGCCAAAGGGGGATTTTAAATCTCACTTTCTCATTCCTCTTGTCTGTCTCTCTCCAGACGGGAACTGTAACATAGCTTCTAAATCCATGACGATGCCCATGTCAGACCCCAGCGCCTGGGCAACAGCCATGAGCAACCTGGGGATGCCTCCGATAAGCATGACTGGAAGGCAGCTTATGCCAGGTACCACAGGTAACGTGCTAGATGCTGCAAAACAGGTCACATGGTGGCACACAAAAGTGCATTGTTTTGTATAGTGAATATATTGATGTGGGAATTTCTATCCCACAGCTCATAAATAAGCCTGAATTTGTTAGATTTATGTTGACACTTGCAGTTAGAAGATGTACTGTAAGTAAGGTATAGCTGCCTACATGTTTAGAGGTGGGAGAAACAACCACCTAAAAGTTACAAAACCTTTTTTTGGTTGCTGGCTTGAATGCACAGAGAGGCTAGAAAAATGTGTGTAGGAGGACAGATGAGTAACAACGTTTCCTCCCCCTCTGCTGCCCTCAAAGTGCCCTTGAGCAAGTCGGTGAACATCAGCACTGGAGCAGTTGTACTCATCGCACTGGGCTTCTCCTGATGCATCACCGTTTGAATGTCTGAAGCCTCCCCTCCTCTGCATCTACTCCCCCAGGCAGTTATAATTAAGGATGTGCTGTTAGCTTATTTTTCTGCTTAAGTAAAGGTTTGAAAATGCCAAATATGTGTGTAGAGGATGATGACATGTTATGTTGTCATACTTCTGTGGGGCCCGTGGGGGTGATAACTCATCCTTCTCTGACTGAAAGTCCAGCTGGAGCTCAGGGTGTTTACAGTATACGTGGCAACCCCTTTAACGTGTTCCCTTGCTGTGCCACTAGTCACTGAAGAGTAAGTAATCCTCATACAGCCCCCAAGCGCTTGAATAGGTTCATCCTGATGGGCTGAGCCCATGCAAGTTTTAGTGTAGGTGAAAAATGTCTGCATTTTTGGAAATATTTAGATTTCTTGCCCAGAGTTTGATGAGAAGATCGAAGATCTCTCATGTCTGTGCATTAAGGGGCTTTCGCACCTGTAATTTGATTCATTTGGTCCAAGGGAAAAGTTCTGGTCTGGTTCCTGTTCACATTGACTTTTTACAAACAAACTAAGAGGAGTTAACATGGAAGTTATACATTTTGGTGATTGTCATCCTCGTCAGGACCCATGTGGGGAAATCAAATTCCGGTGAATGACATTTATGCAGCACTGTAATACTTCTCAACTGGATATTTATGTCATTTAGTATAAAAAATTTACAAGCTCACGAAGAAATATCTAATTATATGACTGCAAATTGACAGCAAGTTATGAATAATGACATAGAGACAAGAAGAAAAGGAGGCATCTTGTACAATAATGATTTTTTATTACTGTGAAATTTCTGTCACACACTTTTTAATGGACTAATGAACTGACACTGTACACAGAGTACAAGCACAGCATTTTTAACAGCTTTTGACCCATTAATCAGGGAAAATTGATGTGCTAAAATGCTAAAATCACATATCTGCTATCATAAAATCCTATGGCTGGTTTGTTTGCTTTCATATCAGAAGCAATCCGCTAAAGAGTCTGCTTGAAAGCGGACTAGCCGGGCAAATGCACCAGGGTTAATTTTTACCAAACCAAACAGGTTAGGAGTGAAAGCATCCTAAATGTGCGGCTACAGGCATCAGACGGTTAGCTTAGCTTAATATATTGACTGAAAGCAGGGGGGAAACAGCTTTCCGGGTCTGTCCAAAGGTAACAAAATCCATGTACCAGCACCTCCAAAGCTCATTAATGAACACGTATATCTCATATGTTTATTCTGCATAAAAGCTGAAGTGTATAAACAAACAATTCATCCGGTAGTTGCTGGGCAATGTCACGGTGACAAAAAAACTCACTTATCCCAGCAAAGAAAAAGTCTGGTGCACAACACCCTCTGTAAAACCACAAATTGTCTTTCTTACACTTCAGATTTTCTAAGGTTTTAACCACTTGGAAACTAACACTTTGGTGTGAGAGACCCGGGTTCAATCCCCCACTGTGACCCATCCACCACTGTGTCCCTGAGCAATACACTTAACCTCTAGTTGCTCCAGAGGCGTGCGACCTCTGACATAAATAGCAATTGTAAGTCGCTTTGGATAAAAGCATCAGCTAAGTGAATAAATGTAAATGTAACACCTATTTCCAGGAAAAACACCTAAAATCACATACCCAAAATAAATCAGTAATAACTCCTCAACTATTAGGCCTAGACGCATAATTCTGGTCTTCTTTGATAGGCCAGAAACTAAGGAATCAACTGTAAATGAACCTATTTATTTTTCTATTAAAGAGTAAATGGAGATGCAATAAGGGAAAATATGATATTTTCACAAGTCGGCCAGTAAACCGTCTGCTCCAAAGCAACACTTCTTTTCACCTTCATTTTGACCAGTGAAACGAAACCTAAGAGCAGCTTTTGTGCAATACCAAGATGGCAGCCTGCAGCTCTATTGACACAGAAAACAGCTGTTTTTGGACTGAAAACAGCAAAAACGGCAAAAATAAGTTGAAAATCAATTGGTCCGTGCTCAAATTTATACAAACAAATAATAACATGTTAACTGGTGAGCTTTGGAGTCACAATTTTGTTACATTTGGACAGAGCCAGGCCAGCTGCTTCCCTCTGTTTCCAGTCTATACTAAGCAAAGCTTACCGCCGGCTTGCTGGGGCTTCATGTTTAATTGACAGATTTGAGATCTGTATCAATCTTCTATGCGAATAATCCTACTTCCCAAAATGTCAAACTGTTCCATCGAAAGAGACTTGTCAGAGTGTGCGCTCATAGAACTTAGGTTATGATGGATAACTACTGTAGCGGCTGCGTTGGTCAGGTCACATTAGGTCAGTAGCTGAAAATATTCCAGTATGAGTCGGTATATCAAATGTGCAAAGTTTACGACAGAGGGGTTTAGGAGAAGATAATGTTTCTGCATGCAGATCCCTTCTGTATAACCTAGCTTACTTGAAGTCAAGATATGTAAACATGTTAGCCTCCCTATAATCCCTCTAAGGCCTGGTTTCTTAAACTATGGTTCACAACCCCAATTGAGGCATGAACAGTTTTCTTTTGTTAAACAGTGCGACTCAACGGGTGCGGCTATGCCCTGAAAACACAAATGTCACAGTTACAGAACAATGATACAAATGCAGGGAACAATAAAATAAAGTTATTTATACGAAACATAAACTTGAGTACAAAGCATGGTGGTGTTCTTCTCCATAGAGAGTGATGCTCTCACCCAGAAGCATAAACAGCTCACATTATTAAAATAAGAATACAATTCCTCTATTTATTGACATAATGGTTAAACTGTAATATTGTGTTTGCTATTAATAAAAGCTTATTTATTGAAATTATTACATTTGACATTATTACATCTCCAAAATGGTCTGTATTTTACAGGGAGTTTCAGACTAACAACTAGTAATAATCTAAACTGAACTGGATGTTGATTGGTACACTACACTTAGAAGTGTTGAAATCCCTCTAATGAGGCCTTTTTGCAGCATTTAATTTAAAGAAGCTGCTATTGTCTGCCATTCAGGACTTGTGGGAAAAATACTGAGAAATAAGTCTAAGTCTTTTAACTAATCTTCATTAGTAGTTTATGTAGAAGGAGTCAATAATACCCACAGGACAAGAGCACCTGTAGCAGTAAAGCAGCATTTCTTAGAGGAGAGTCACCCCAGAGGAGAGTTCATTTCTAAAATTTGAACCGCAGACTGAAGGTCTAATTATACTTTTCATGTAGCTGTGAGGGTCCACGAAGGTCTGCATGATGTAAGTGAAATCATCTGTCCATACCTGCGATACCCCATGCAAACATCTGCGATACCCCATGCGTGTCCACCTGTACCCAAAAATATATGAACACACCAGCTGTACATGTGAGAAATCATCCCCTCACGTAGACACCTGGCGTATTACAAACAGAATCAGTCCATTGTGTACAACTGCGTTCTTTTTGGATTATACTGGGTTTTAGGAAGATTTAAGAACACCCACAGTGAAGGCTTTTTATATATGTACATTATAACATTATTAATCATCAAGCTAATGTTTGCTGGACATGAACATTTACGGAAAGATACAACCCTATATGGAAATTTGGCACCTGGAGAGAGAGAGAGAGAGAGAGAGAGAGAGGAGAGAGAGAGAGAGAGAGAGAGAGAGAGAGAGAGCTTCAGGGCTTGTCAGCGATTACTAAATGTTCCCTCGGAAAATTGAGAGAGAAAGAGAGAGTTATCCATAGTTAGACCATCCAGACCCTGAGGGATGCTCGCCCCTACTTCCTACAGGGAATCCATTGATACTTTTCTGTATTAACTTCATAATTTAATGGTATTAGAGAGCAAATTCTGCTGCCTGTTGTATAATATCCGACAATGCACAAGCATTTAATGATGGGACAAGAAGTTGTTTGTTTAATTCCTATTAGCTCACATGCTGCATGTAAGGCATTTTCCTTGGTAGGGTATTCATTTACTCAACTATAAGTCAGCATGAATGAAAAGTAAAAATACTGTAGGAAATATTTGTTGGTCAGATTATTACTGTAGTGGGGGGAGAAAAGGGGAGAAAGATTTTATAGACTGGTCTGATATGAGAAGAATCTCCTCAACAACTTCAGAATGAGTCTTTGACAGCAGTTTATTCAACTGATTTTCTTTTCTTTATGAAAGTGTGTTGCTGAGTCTTGACTGAATCGTCTGGTGTGTGCTCTCTTAAGATGAAAATATTACAAAAAGTTTTAGATTTGAAAATGCTCTAGTGTGCACCAGGCATTAACTGCCAATAGTATAATTTCAAAATATCTCTGTGTCTCTCTTTCGTGAGTATGGATTTACATTTGGATCCACATAATATTTTAGTATAGTTGGTGTTATATAGTATTGAAATTGAAGATTAGATGTGATGGTAGAACTGTTTTCCATGCCCATGTCTCATGTTGCTTTGTGTTGGCAATTGGGATTGATTCAATTAAAATGGATACACTGCGCTGACTCTGGGAGATGAAATTATGACTCTATTCTGTAGAAGCATGCAAACACTAAGCAAGCACAGAACAGTGGCTCAGTCCTACAAGTTGACTAGAGACAACTTCTTGTTTGGATAAGC